CCTCTCCACTTCCACTTCTCTCTACACTAAGCTCTGTCTCTTCAGTCTTCACACTTTTCCTCCTCTCCCAAGTGATTCTGTACTTGTTCAGCACATCCTGATGTTATAGCTATCTGCTTTGTTCTTGGTCTGTTGGGAAGGCTGTTTTTTCTTCAACTAGATTATGTGTTCACCAAAGACAAAAACCATACCCCTACTCCAAACTTTCCCTTAAAAAAAAAACAACCCTTTAATAGGATAACATTTCCAAATAGATGTTAGAGAAACAGAAGTGAAATAATTAAAAGAATTAATAAGAATCTCTACCAAATGGGTTAAAAACCTGTTCAGTTTTGTATCTGAAAGTATAAAGGTTGCACAAGAATAAGATCAAAATTTATAACATTAATGGGATGCACATGGACTTGTTTAATGAGTTTCTGCATATTCCAACACGAGATATACTTATGACATTTGAAAGAGGTAGTATGGGGATAAACAATAAAAAACCCATCACTATCCTGAACAGAAGTAATCCCTGAGTGTGCGTGTGAAACACACACACTACAGATTATCCCATGAACAAATACACACACACACAGCGGATACTCCATGAACATCAACGAGTCCATTGTACTGTAACAGACTATTCTCCTCAAGTACTACCGGGCGAGGGTGGTGGAGGCTGGTAAGGCTAATGCCTATCCTTAAACAGTCCCAGAACAATACCCTACTTTAACCATTGTCCTTGATTTGTTCAGTTTGGTCACTTCATGGCCTCATGATTTTAAAGCTTAAAAGGACCTTGCAGATTAACTGGTTCAATCCCTGCTTTGAAAGCAGTGGCCATCTAGAGAATGCGTGTTTACATCTGGCAAGGGGGCCTGAGCACAGGAGGATGAAGCCCCCTGACCCGCACCATGCGGGGTCCACCAGGCAGGCTCCCGTGGCCGACTGGCCATGGGCTGTTCCTGTCCCCACACGATTCCCTGCATCTGGCTCCACTGTACCACATTAGTTCTATGTTAATCTGCCCAAAATAGTGTAATTTTCTAAAAGGCTTTGTATGAAGACAACAAAGTTTTCTTATCTTTTTAATTTCTAGGTCCAAATAATATAGAAACTTCTACAATATATAAGATCACAAAATTTATTTACCTTGAGTGTCTCTGTAATCTTCAGAGTCTTCTAAAAGATTTTTCAAATAATCTAGAAATGAAAAAAGTGATACTATTTAGTACAATAAAGCAGTAAGGAGAAAAACACTTGTCTTCAATACTTCAGTCATTCTTGTTGGTTAATATACATGCTGTTCAGTTTGTGCTAACTTTCTTAAAATGTGCAAGAATAAAGCCCGAGAATCAGTTTGAAATCAGAACACAGAATCAGAGCTGAAAAGAGCCTTAGAAATCACACACTTAGAGGTCATTTTAGAGACGAGGAATCAAGTTACTGAGCACAGGGTTTCACCCAAGTTACACAACCTCTTTGTGGCAGAGTCAGGACTAGAACCCAGGTCTCTCCACACATAGTTCAGGTCTTTTACTCCAACACACATGAACTACCTTAATCCCAGGATCAGATGTTTGCCTAGCACAAAATTCCAAACAGTAACAGATCAAATGCCTAAGGGACTCTTAGGTTTGTCAGTCTAAGAGTCTCACAATGCCAGAACCAGAGAACTGCAATACACTAGACTCTCAGATGGGGGTGAGTATGCTTCCTAGGGGTCATGTGGAAATGTCTGCAGGTATTTCTGATCGTCACAACTTGGGGAAGGGAGGTCAAGGATGCTGCTAAATGTCCTACAAATGCACAGGGCAGCCCTACAGCAAAGAATTATCTGACCCAAAATGTCAATAGGGCTGCGGCTAAGAAACCTGACCTAGATGGTCTGAAAATGAGCTATTGTAATGTAGTGATTCATAGGTTATAGTTAGTAAATCTTTAACACAAAGGAATATACTGTGTTTTGCCATGTATAATGCGTAGCCATGTTTTTGGCCCAAGTTTTCAGGGGAAAAAAATCTTTCATTTTACCTTTTAATTCAATTATTTATTTACTTATATTTAGATACTTGTTTTTTGTATTATTAAGGAATTTTAGCATTTATTCTTGAACATATTATGGTATAAGAAATTTTGCAAAACAAGTAATTATTAAACACAAGAACAGATACAAGGTGTTTCAGGGACTGCCCATATATAATGGGCACACTTAATTTTCCCTCAAACATTTGGGCAAAGAAGTGCACATTATACACAGAAAAATACAGTAATAGGATTTCAAGGTAACACTTCCTTCTCTGTTGAGAAATGTTGGATGGCTTCCCATTTCCTATCAAATTAAAACGAGTTCCATTCCCTGGAATTTAACGTCCCCAATGCCTCTCTGATTTTCTCTCTTGCTACTGCCTAACACAGGCCCTTTGTTCTCAGCCAAGTTTGATCCTGCACAATTCCTTAAACATTTCCCAAGTGTTCTCTGGCTCCATACTTTTTGTCTCTAATGTTCTCTTTTTTCTAAATCCTTCTGTCTCTGTACACAAAAACTCGCCTCACATTCTTCTAGGTTCATCTCAAATTCCTCCCAGCTTATCAATCTTGCCACTTAAAAAAATATATACTCTCCCTTTGAATAATACATTACCTGCCGCTTACTCATTTTACACCTTCTATCATTTTGGTTTTCATTTGACTCAAAGTTCCTTGTGGGCAGGACTCACATCTGATTCACGTTTCTATCGCTCACAGCACTTAGCCAGGGCCTTTACATACAAGGGACAGGAAATGCTCTGCTTAGAATAAAAGACTGCATCGTGTCTTAGTTTAGGTAAGCGGCAGTAAAGGTTGAAACCAATCCTAATGACAATGGGAGTTGAGAAAATGAAAAAAGAAAAGGCTTGTGAACAGACTGAATGTGATTTTACTACACTCAATGTCCATGAACAGTGTTTTGGAATATGTAATCTCATCCCATGGATTTATGAAATCGTGCTGAATGGAACAAAAGGACACCTGAGTGCTTGTGCCAGCTTTTCAAACCTAATACATGACACAAACACACACACCTGAGAGCTGAAACTCTGCATCTTTGAGACGGTAATCCAAAAACTTACGTCTAGACATGCACATCATAACTATCCGGCACTGGCAGGAAGCCGAGCTGAGATATTGCGAATGACAGCACTAAGCTTCCATGTATCACGGTCCAAGTTCTATCTTGGCAGCAACCATTACTAGCAATTTAGATCTTAAAGTAATCTGAACACAGAAGTTGCAGAGTATGCTTCCAAACAAACAGATAAGAAAACCACAAAAGTTAACAAAATACATTGATTGTACATTATACTTAGCTCTACCTGGAGGTGAAAACTAATGGAATCTCACTCTGATTCCACTCAGAATGCATTTCATATATAAGCCATGTTTGATGAGTCTAAATATGTAACTTTCCCATGAGGGTAACAGGGTTGGGGAGAAAATGTTAATGGTCTTCTTAAATGTTCTCAGTGTTGAGGCTACCTCATTTATCAAAAGTGATATCCCTTAAAGCCTCTAGGTAGCTTAAGAGTGTGGAAAGGAAAACGGATTTCCCTAAGTATCAGACTCATGGCAAGTTCCTATTTTGCCTCACTTAGATGCTTGTTCTTTAATATAGAACTGAGACATTTCTCTGAACCAAGAGAGCTTACTGGAAGATGTCCGTATTAGGAAATCCTGACCTCAGAATCACTGTGCTGAGCCTGATAAGCTTCTGAGCTACATTTTCTCCTCTTGTTCTCTAGCTCAGCTGCTGTCTGCCAGGCTGAACTTTCAGGAATAGAGTGGAAGCACACAAATTGGCTGAAGAGAAAACCCACCACTAAGATGACACAATATCATGATATTAATCAGAGAGGTAACGGAGTTAGGTTTGCTGTCCTTGCCAATTAAGAAGATAATCTTAAAATGAAACATTGAAAATTCAACATTCCAAAATATTTTTAGGGCATCTGGTTGCAGTACATCCTTGTGAAAACTTTCACCTTTTCAAGGAAAACAAGACCATAATCCTTCGCTCCCCTTACCCCGCCCCCAGGTAAGATAGGAATCACTCAGTGCCTTAACTGCAGAATGAGAACATGGTTGGTCACCCTGAGTCAGATGGGAGGCACTGAAACCACCGGCTGCCCTAGTGACTGTTACAACCCAGGAAGAGAGACCAGACAGACACGCCTGTATTGGTCACAGGGAACTGTTTACTACGTATCATTTAGTAGCCTAGAGGAAGTTTCATTTTCAAAAAATGAGGAGAGCAGTCGATTCAATTTGCCAGGCTATGACATTCCTGCTACTGCCAAGCCAAACTATGCATTTTTCAAAACTCCGCTAATAAAAATGCTTCAAATGCTGCTGAGGTTATTTCTATTGAGAAAAAAAGTTGGTGCAGCACGCATGGGCACCCCAATATGTACTTTCTCGCCACCAGGTGGCACCATTGATTAATAGACGTTAATTACCACCCCCCCACCACCTCCCCACTGTGGCTGGGTGCAGCCTCCAGGGACATACAAGTTAATTTCTGAGGCCCAGAGTGAAAGCATGAGGACCCAACACCTGCTGCGTCTTGTTAGAGGTCTAAGTTTTCTATAAAAGGGCTCCTAGTAAGCTTTACCACCCCTGATTACACAATCAGTGAATAATTAACTTAAAGATGAAAGCTATTCAGAAGTACAGTTAACCTTTCCTAAAAATGAGTCATCTGTGGGAATCTGGGACTTTTTAATTCAACAACAGCCAGTCAGATTCCTGGACTGTGTGCTAAGAAATGGGGATGGGTGAGCATATAGGAGGGGTAGCATTTCAAAGTCAATTATTTTGAAGTTAAGGACATGTCTTGCCTTGTATTATCCAGATTTCTTCCTTCCTCCCTAAATATGTAATGGTATCAGCAATACACACAGAATTATGAGATCCAAAGACCCACTAAGCCTAGTCATGAGCTTGTCTGCCAAAGTTTCTAATTTTATTTTGTTCAGTGATATCTGGCAAGTGCAAAGCCACCACAAAACGCTGATGCTGGACAGAAGAACTTACCTCTTACTATTGCAGACTGACTCCCTCTAGAATCCCACAAGCCAGACTAGAAAGGGATAACTGTCTGTTAAAGTTTCAAATTTTAAAAGAAGCAATTTGTAATGATCTGACTTGTGAAATGAAGTACTGATTATTTTAAATATGCAAAATCAAGATGAACTGTCAAGCTCTGAGACCTACTGCCATGTTCCAGGCAGCTCGGTGACACAATCACCAGCCCTTGTTGGAACTGAGAAAATAGATTCTTACTCTTAGTCTAGCCATGTCTAGTAGATGCATGCGACTTTGGTCATGCTCTTCCCTGTAGCATCTCTGTGTCAGAATCCCCATACAGGATGGACCAGGTGGAAAAACTGTAACGATTCTCCTTCTAAAGTATCACAAAGGACGTTGTGTAATAAACTCGAAGATGCATTATAGAAAATTTGGAAAGTTAAGTAATCTAGAAAATTCAAACCATGAATAGCTCTCTAAAATACTATAAATTAAAAACATTTCCTTCTGTTTTTATAAATGTTTGATTTTACTTAATTTTAACAATATATAAGATTTTACAGCCCATTTAAAATATTATAGCCCATACAGATTTTCCCTATATAAGTAGCTGAATAACATACCATCATTGGAATATATTATACAGTATTTCGGTATTCTATTATTAGACTTTTAATTCATTTTTAAATTGTCTTGCTTTTGGCTGTTTTAAATAGATGGCCACACATCCTAATTTGCCCATAATGATTCTGATGAATACCTATTCTCCAGGCGTAACTATAAAAACTGCCCCCTTGTACTCTTGAAAGGTAACAGGTCTGAATAGTAAAGTGTGTGATTATTTTAATTGCAAGTAACATTGATCAATTATTTAGATTTCAATGGAAAAAAGTTTTCTCTCTTTTTAGTACTTGATATAGCACAGGAAACCTTGCGATTCCAATTTGAATCATCACTGTAAGTCTAGAAGAATAGTTGTTTCACTAAAGGATTGCTAGTTTTGTATACTGTAGGTTTTTATTGCCAATATGGAAGGGAGAACTGGTAACTCATTTTAATTAATATGTACAATATGTACAATCCAGAGGATATCAGACATGCCACTGTGTATTTACTATGTACGGTATATTTTTTGTAAGTGAATTTTTTGTTCACATTTTAATCCCGATAACTATAGTTTTAAGTTTGTCTGCCTCTGATTTTCCTATAGTTTAATGTTTTATATTTAGTGATTTTTTTTAAGGAAGGCTTTATTTCTTTGTTACATTTATTTTTTAATTAAAATTTATTATTAATGTTCAAATACAGTTGACTCCATTTTCCCACTGCCAATTTCTCCCACCCAACCCACCCCTACCTCCCACCCTCAAGGAAGAGGCTTTATTTCCTAGACGAGTTTTACAGTCACAGAAACACTGATGGGAAGGCACAGAGATTTTCTGTGGAGCTCCTGCTGCCACACGTGCGGAGCTTCTCCCATTGTCGACAACCCCAACACACCAGAGGGTGCGTTTACTGCAGCCGATGAACCTCCCCATCACCACCCAGTCACAGCTTACATTACGGTCCACTCCCGGTGTTGTACATTCTACAGGTCTGGGCGAATATATACATCTAATGACATGTATCCCTCATCATGGTATCATCCATAGTGTTTTCACTGCCCGAAAATCCTTGGTGCTCTGCCTATTTATATTTAGTTTTCAGTATGTTTTTAGTATATCCACTGATTATGGTTCTTAACTTTTCAAATTTTAACAGGTTATTCAATAAACAATCCTTCCTTTTTTTATTAGCTTGCACTTTCTACTTTGTCATACATTAGATTCTTACAAAACACAGGGTCTATTTCCAGTACCTCCCTATCACAATGATAAAATAACTATTATTATTTTTTTAATCAATAGGTGTATTCTTGCAATGGTATCATGTATCTTTAATTGTTGAAGTTTTAGAATTAGTATTGACTGATATTTCCCTCCCAGAATATTCTTTAATAATGTAGTTTATTTATTTCTATGTACAGAAACTTTTTGATATGTACCTATAAAGTCCCCAAATTCTAAGCAATCTTAATGAGAATATGGACCATTGGCAATATGTTAGAAGCTAAGGGAATGGTCCTACAGTGTTAAGCATCATTTTGTGCACGAATGCTAAACTGTGGGTTTCATGAAGACAAGGAGCCTGAATTAGTTATCCCTATATCCCAGCACCTAGAACAATGTCTGGTGCATATTCAATGTATCCTGAATTTAGGATGAACTGACACTCCCATTAGTGTTATCACTTTTTGCTTCATATTGACTAAGCACTTGAGATAATATTTTGAGGGTCTAATTAAAAAGTGCTCTGGCCCTTCTCTAGTTCTCTTGCTCCTTAAATATTAGCTCAATTCTGTTCCCTAGATATGTGGCACAGGGCTTACTCTTGTCCATACAGTACTTGTCTAGGTTAGAAAAGTGACCTTTCTGGGCTCTCGGGCTCACAGATTTATGGCTGGGAAAGCAGGCAATGCTTTTCTGTGAATTAGAAAAGGCCATTTGTCCTCAGCTGATGCAGACCCTCACAGGGGCACCCAACTTGGTAAGCAGAGTGCAGGCTGGACTTCAGCAGGGGGGCATAACCGTATGAGGCAGCCCTGATCTGTCCTAGACTTTGATAAGTGTAGTCCTGAGGCCTAGAGAACTCCAGAACTAAACCTGACTCCTGGATCATTCCACGACAAAAATTTGAAGCAGTTCTTAACAATGCCCAGATCCTCTCCTTGGTCTCTTTCTAGCAGGACACACTGGCTAGGCATATCCAGAGTGCCCTTGGAAGAGTCAAAGCTATAGGTAATCTCCCAACATTCACTATTCTGAATTAGTTGAAACAAGTGCTTTTCTTCGTGGACACATTTTCCAACCATTGAGCCTGCCATTTTATCCAGTGAGAATCTCCAAAGTACAGAAATGACCTTGGCACAGTCAAGCCTCACTTAAAGAAGCTCTTAACCGTGTGTAGTCCTCACTGCCCTGATTATCAACAAAAAGCAAATTTAAGTCTAGGGAGATTAGTATATTTTACTGCCCAAAGAACCTCCAAGGGAAGAATAAAGTAAATATAAGCACCAAGGTGAATTCAAATTTGAACAAATTTCAGTTTTACATCCAACTGGAACAGTTCCTGATGCAAGCCCTGATTCTGAGAAACACCCAGAGGGAAACTCTAGCAAGAGTCAGCTTGTCAGGCCTGTGGCAGGGCAAGTTCCAGCAATAAAGGCATCTGGCTATTTGCAGGGAATCTGGGTCAAACCTACACTGAAAAGTGAAAAAGAATGGCTTCACAATAATGTCCATTGGGCATTAATTCAGGGGCTCTGCAAACTTGGATGGGCAAAAATAAACAAATATTTTCACTAACTCCAAGTGAAATACAGAATTCCCTCCCATTATGAATGCAGGCAACAAACCACAGCATTATAAATGATACCAGTGACTGTGTCACCATAAAAACCACGTTTTTTTAACATCACATTACAATTGTTGTGGACAACTCAGAACATTGTGGACTCTCACCATTACTTCAACATCAGGGCAGTTCTAAGTTCACCACCAGGTCTTTTCATTCACTGCACAGGTAACATACTATGTCACACATCAAAGTTATTTTAACAACTTCATTTCATCCCATTTAATTTCCTTTTAATCTTATGTATTTTATTCTGTAATTTTAAAAATTATTCTGAGAAGAGATTCAATCATAGGCTTCATCAGATTGCCAAAGGGATCCAGGCAAAAAATAATAATAATAAAATAAAATAATCCCTGCTCTTGAGAGAAAGTGAGATTACATTTAAAAGCTGTAATTTAATAGAACAGGCAGATAAAACATCTTCCCTCTTATATCCTAATAAAACCTTTTCATAGTATTGAAATCATGGATATAATTTGTTAAATACCATCTCTCAGAATACCTTATTCACAACTACAATTAAAAATTAATTATAACACAGTAAGAGCTGAGGTCATTACAACAGAAATCCTGAATATTGCCACCCTCCTATTTTACACAAAGGAAACTGCCTTATACCCAGGTCTTTGGATTCCCCAGAAACTCAGTTCCTTGGCTGGTGCCCAGGACAACCCTACCTTTCAAGTTGTGCCCTAGAAAAATTGTTAGAAGACTCTTGGTACAAACAATTAACGCTGAGTTTTAAAACAAATACTTGCCCAGCAGAAGCTCCCCCCCCCCAAGTAAGGGCTTTATTTTTAAGTAATGCATTAATTTGATTCTGATCTTTTTTAACAATCTGTTTATTAGCCCATTCATAGCTCAAATTTATAACTTCAGAACACTAGAACAGATGTTTCTAATATATTTTCTACCAACATGGGAAATCCTAGATTTCTAAAACCTAGAGAGAGTTAATACCATCCCAGACTAAAGGCAAAGATTATAGGAAAAGTAATATAATACATTATTAAAGTCATTTATAACAGAAATATTTAAATAAGATCAAAGGAAGTACCTGATCCAAATTTAATCAAAGTTCAAAGGAGTATTTTCTTCTCAAATATCTAAGTGGAAAAGGTATTTCAGAGGAATTTTTAAATTATATTTTTCATTATGTTTTCTCCACCATGATCCTCACTGATTCAACCTGTTTCAACACCAATGTAGTAACTTTCCACAAACGAAAGCATTTTTCTTTAAAAAAATTATATCACATGTAACACAGACAAAAAGAAATCTAAAAAGGTATGTCATTTCTAGATGGTAGCAGATGAAGAACATTTTTAAAAAATAATACATATTTTTAATAGGCACGAAAGATCTCTTCAAAGAAAAAAAGTGACCCTTAAAACATAAGTCCTCAAATATACTCAATGAAACAAACGACAGGATTGATATAATTTTCAGGAATTGAAATGAGGAAGAGTTTGGTGGGAGCTTCAACAGCTGAGTGTGGACCCAAAGGGAAGTGCTGTAAGCTCCATCCGGACAGGGATCACCACCGTGCCGTTTGCCAGTGTGTACAGGTGTCCGGCTCAGGGCCAGCCCATACAAATATTTGTTCAGAGAGCTAGTGAC